AACAACAACAACAACAGAGTTTACATGGATATTCTCATCATTTTCATTCTGGTATTTCTGTTTCCTTTGATCTATATTCCTTGGCCCCTTATTGTCTCAACTTTGTTTTAAAGTCATTGTTTTTTTTTTGTTTGTTTTTGGTTTGATCTCCTAGAGGTGATTTTTTTTTTTTTTAAGAAAAGGAACAGAAAATTCATGTGTGAGTTGAATATTTTTTTGAACTATCTTGTTGCTTAGGTACAAGATGTCCTCAGGGACTAGTTTTCATTCAGGGATTGGAAAGTATCTCAGGGCAATAGCCTTGATGAATCATCCGTTCTCAATCAGTCCAATACATTTATTTTTCTTTTTTCTAATTTGGAGGTCTTAAACACGAAATATCTCTGCCTTTTTATACTCAGGATAACTCCTCTGTTTCGAGAGTTTAATAATATTTTTCTGTACAGACTCTTTCAAAACTGGAGTCCAGGAAATACTTAGTAGACATTATCCAGACTTGTTTTGTGCCACATATGGGTAATAGTTCATGAGTGAAGAGGCAGACACATTTGTTAAAGGTCAAATTCTTATAATCTCAGCAGATATTTGTTTTCTCGGTGACAATGGCTTCCTCCACCCATGCTCTGAGCATTTAAAATGGGTTTTCAGGGCAAGCCAACATTCTAGAGTGTTCTAATGGGCATTATAAAGGAAATAATTGTTGAATGATTTGTTGGTTTAACAAAGATTTATTGAATATTTACTATGAAGTCAAGTAAGTGAAGTATTATGATGGGTATATCTGCTGCCAAGGATCTCTTTTAAGTGCTAAAGTGCAAAGATGCCATCTTAAAGACTAAGGTGTGCCTGACCCAAGCCATGGTGCTTTTGGTAGCTTTATGTGAATGTGAAAGTCAGATGGAGACTGTGGGCACGGTGCAGGGCTGTGCAGGGCTTCATTCTGTTTATGTTGCATGAAGTGGAGGCTACTCCATGGCACCTAACAACAACATCAATAATAATTTTATTCCTTGGATTGCACTATGAAACGGTTGGAAGCAGGAGTGGCACCCACTTCCTAAACAACATGCCTCTGGAAACTCTTATGAGCTTTAACAAATGATAGTTACAGAAAGGCTTCAGGCCTTTTGTTCATAGGGTCGCTATGAGTCGTGCTCAACTCGACGACAATCAATAATACATGAAGTGGAAAGTGGATACAAGACAAAGAAGACCTGTTTCTTGTTCTTCAAGAATTTCTAGCTAGGACTTTAATGGGAAAAGATGATGAAGACTTGACAAGACTTACTCAGTCTGGCCTGGTGTGATGGTGGCGCAGTTTGCTTTCTTATGACAGGGGTTCTTTGATTCACAGATATTGGTCATATTGCATCCCACTCCAGGTACAAAATTCTGATAGTGTTCCTTGCATTCACAGTGAGACTTTAGACCACAGGGAGAGAAAAAGAGGATTCTAGTTAGGCACATGGACTGATATTCATTTTAAATCTATGCATGTGTTTTGCCTTAAAAATGAACTCTAAGTAAGCCTGAAACTTCTGCTTAACTTAAAATATCAAGGTACTCAGATGTAGTCATCATATTGGCATATCTCACTGTTGGCAAGTTCATACACTTTTCTTTTCAAAGGTTAGCTTTTCAGTTTTCTAACCCTTGGCTTTGCTGGCTCTGTAATTTTTTAAATTTTATTTCTTTTTTTGTGTGTATACCGTCAAATCAGATCTGACTGGTACAGAAGAAGATTGCCTTTCCTTCTCCAGCAGAGCATCTGGTGGATTTGAAAAGCATACCTCTGGGATTGCAGTGCAGCTTCTTGCCACTAGGCCACCAGAGCTCCTTTACTCTATACTTTTTGAGTTTAGATTGTGTACAGTTGAGTGGAATTTGAATTTCAGATAGAGGTACAACTATCCAGGACAGTGGTTTTCAACCAGCGATCTCAACCCAGGGGACACTGGGTAATGTTTGGAGACATTGTTAATTGACAAACTGGAGGAGCATGGTGTTCCTAGTATCTGTTGAATAAAGGCCAAGGACAGGGTAGGACAGCCTGGCCTGAGAAAGATCCACCTGATCCCAGATGTCAATAGTGCTCAGGTTGAGAAACCTGCTGTGGAATAATGCACTGCTTCTGTATGAACCATGGAGGCTGCCTAGGTCTTGAAAAGGTGTGCCTTGGGGCAGGTTTGTGAAGAAACAAAAGACATTTTCATATCATTCTCAAATTCTTGGTTCCTCGCATGTAATGTGGCCTTTCCCTAAGAGTTTTCATCTTGAGGACTCTGAGGATGGAAATTCAGCCCCATGAATTTCTCTCCAAACCTGCTTCAGGTTCTGTTAGGTGAAATGTTGAATGGTATACTTTTTTTTTAAATTAGTTGATACTGGTTTACATACAAAGTTCATATACATTGTTTTTCATGCCATTATTCCATAGAGGTGAGATCTGGTTGAGTCTCTGTAGGGGCTTCAACAACCTTCTTTCTAGGGTTCAGATCAGACTGCAGGGAGCAGATGGCTGTGTTTGAATCAAGCCTTAAAGCCTTTCCTCCTTATAGCATTATCCTTCTGGAAATAGGTAACTTCCACTCAAGACTCTGTGTAGTTAAGGACACAGTAGACACACACTAAATATTTGGTGAGTGTAGGAGATGTTAGGGGAAGGGCTCTTTAGACTGGATTCCACAGCAGAGGTCCTTCAACAATGCCGATTCTCACCTGTGTGGAGTCAAGGTGAGCCAGCAAATCCAGGCAATGATGTGACTTAAAGGGGTCATATCTCACCCCAGAAGATCTTCAGTGTTCCTTATAATCTGTCAGTACTACCTGATGTTCTTCAGTTTTCCTGAAGTCAGGCTATTTTTGTTTCTAAAGAACCCCCTTTTAACTTGAGAAGGAGTCAAAGAGAATGGGAGATGGGAGATCCAAGCTAATAAAAACTTGACCCATGAGGTGGTTGGCAGTTAACATGTAAATCATTCTGGATTTTCTATGTCCTTTGCCAATCAACTTACAGGTCTGTGAGAGATGAGAGAGCATGATAGGTCAGACTCTGCTAGGAAGCTGGGAAGGTGTAAGCTCAAAGGAGGAACCTGTGTACATGGTGGTGGGGGAAGAAAGGAGCTTCTGGAAAATAAGTCAGAAGTGAGTGCATGGGGGATAATTAGACCTCTGGCCCACTGTCAGCTTTGGCTGGTGCCCTCCTTCTTCTAGCCTCATCAGCTGCCCACAGCGGAAGCTCACCTGGCCAGGCCCATCATATTTGCACACTGTTGAGTTCGTGGGGCAGTTTCCAAAGTTTTCTTGGCAGGGGTCTACCGGTAGGCACACTTGGCCATCCCCACGGTAGCCTTCTTCACATGTACAGCTGTGCCGATTCGGTCCCAGATATGTGCAGCGAGCATGAGGGTGGCATATGCTTTGTAAACACGGGTTGATGGCTTAAGAAACAAAGATAAAACCAGAGGCAGTTATCACACTTAGGGGCTGGAGAGGGGACTGTGACAGAGCTGCAAAGTCACAAATGCAATGCAGTAATTTTGAGAAGGCAACAAACATTCATTTCCCCACTCTACTTGACAACTCCCACCTCCCCAAACAGATTTACATATAATCATCACCACTAACAAAGGTTGGCAGTTAAATACACCCAGAGGCATCTTGAAGTTAAGATCTGAGAATCTCCTTCCAGAAGGTTCCAGCCCTGTGGAGCAGTTTCAGTCAGCTCATATAATGTCACTGTAAATTGGAACTGACTTGAAGACAATTAACAGCAGCACCAGAGTTTATAAGTAAAAATGCTGTATTAATACATTAATTTTCAATGTTTTATGTAGGCTTAAATAAAAAAAATAGCATAAAAGAAAACACTAATGTTTGTAAGATTTATAAGAGGACCAGACTCCAATCCAAGCATTAGCTATAGTAACTAATTTTCTCTTTCATAACCAAAGGACTCTGCAGTGCTTTTTCCATTTCTGGGGTATAGCGGGAACCTCCTATCCCCCTTGAGTACATGCTGCCGTCTAGTGGAGACTTGTAAAACTGTGTTAATCCCTCAACTGCACTAACAGAGACCCCCACTTTGGGACATATTGGTATATACTGGTAGGGGTTTGTTCTACTGTACATAAGGTTGCTATGAGTTGGAGCTGATTTGACAGCCCCTAACAATAAACATTTCATTTAGAATGCCTTCCATTATGGATGTTGTAAAAAATAAATAAAT